TAGAATTCCTAAACTTTGATAACTCGCCAAATTCCATAACCTCAAAGTGTTATCCAGAGATGCCGTAGCAAGGGTACCATAAGGTTTATCAAAGTCAAGACATAGAATCATATCATCGTGTCCTTCTAAAATCTTTAAAGAGTAAAAAACAATAAATTAATATTGAAATAGGTGGTGCAAGGTATAAATATTAGTTACCTTTATACAGGTTCCTGGTTGCTGCTGCTGTTTTAAATTTGTTTTTCCTGATTTATGAAATCCAATTTTAATTGTAAACTTTAGCTTTTGAAAAGGACAAATTATACGAATATACTGACCTTTCTTACTACGCGTATTGTGTCCATTATTATTATCTTCTAATCCAAAATTGGCGATTTTTTCGTTTAAATCTTCCACTAAATTTATCAGCATTGTTAATTCCAATTTAAAACATTAAGATGTAATCAAAAATTTTTAAAACTCACATTGGTCATTCAATTCAACTTTTCGGATGCAAAAATTTGTAAGATTAGACTCAAGACTAAGTTTTTTTGCGGTCAATTCGACGATTTCTTTTTCAATTCTTTTAATGTCGGCTATCGTTCGCGACTTATCGTTAACAAAATAATAATTATTATTATTAGTAAATTTAATTACTTTGGATTATTTAATGATCTTAAAGACTGTGTACAATACCTCATGCAGGTGTAATCTGTCATTTTCTTTAACAACCCTATCACGATCAGCAATTAGTTGATTTAATGGTTTATAATCATAATCTACAAAAACAAATATATTAAGTCTTTGAAAGGTCAATTCTTTAAGTATATACTATTTAATGTTAAGAGATTATGATGGAATTTTTAAAAATAGATTACAACATACCAGCATCGAATATCCCATCAGTACCTGGTAAGAGGCCTTTAACCTTTCGTTTATGCTGCTTTCCTTTTTTTTTGCTATTTATTGTATCAGCCTCCGAAAAAGTTGCTTTATAACCTTGAATCAAGGATAAGGGTGCCTTAGATTCTGGTATGTCCGTAGCTTCCAAAAGTTCCTCGGGAACTGGAGTAGTTGAGCGTGTTGAACATTCATCTGCGGGCAAAGAAATTTGATTCGAATTCGAATTTTCTGCCTGGCGAACATTTGGATTGATATACTTCTGCACGCGTCGTTCCATCATTTGGGGGGCGAATTCAGTGAGTATTGTCACAGCATCTCCTTTTACTACTCGAGGGGTCAAAGGAGAGAATATCATTGAGGCAGTAGTAGATATACTGTTTGGTACAGTGTTTTTAAGACTTTCAAGGTGGAATGCGGGTAGTAAATCGTTTAGCCGTGTATCAGTAAAATTCGAAGAATGCTTTACTTCGCTAGTAGGAGTTGACGATCTTACACTTGGAACATTTGACATACTCATTTTTAATAAATTGGCGTTCGTATGCCTTTTGCTTTACTAAATATTATTATATTGTATGCAACTGTTTAGTCAGTATTCTAGAATATCCACTAACATCCACATATTGGGCCTCGACGTTGGTAGGTGTATCACATGACTTACGCTTAATTTAATTAAATAGTCCCTGATGATCGGAAAGTTCTCGATTCGATTGGTTAATCAATATATGGTAACAATTTTGCTTGAATGCTTCTTGATTTGTCATCAATCGAAAAAAAAAAAAAATTATATATATGAGCCAGCCGTTAAATAATTTTTTTAACTTTTGAAATTTGAAAATTTGAAAATTTGAAAAAAATGGGTCGTCGTCCAGCACGTTGTTATAGATATTGTAAAAATAAACCGTATCCAAAGAGTCGATTTTGTCGTGGTGTTCCTGGTATTTAATGTTAAATAAAAATTTTTATTTAATACTTAAATATTGTATTAATGAAAAGTCCGTATTTGAAAAGATCCAAAAATTAGGATTTTTGATTTAGGACGAAAGAAGGCAAATGTTGACGAGTTCCCTCTTTGCATTCATTTACTTTCTGATGAATATCAGCAGTTATCGAGCGAAGCATTAGAAGCTGGACGTATTTGTGCCAATAAATATATCACAAAAATGGCAGGAAAAGATTCTTTCCATTTGAGGGTTCGTGTTCATCCCTTCCACGTTATTCGTATCAACAAAATGTTGTCCTGTGCTGGTGCTGATAGGTAATATTAGTGAATGATGGAGGATATTTATTTTAATTTTTTTCATTTTGATCTAATTTGTAAAATTCTAAATAAATGTTGCATTTTTATTAAGATTGCAAACTGGTATGCGAGGTGCATTTGGTAAACCTACTGGTACCGTTGCTCGTGTTGACATCGGACAAATTATTTTCTCCGTTCGTACTAAAGAGAACGGCAAGGCGGTCGTGATTGAAGCACTCAGACGTGCAAAGGTAACATATCAGAAAAAAAAACTTGCAATTTTCATGATTTCATTTTTAAATTAACTATATATTTAAAAAAATAGTACAAATTCCCTGGTCGCCAAAAAATTGTGGTGTCCAAAAAATGGGGATTCACAAAGCTATCTCGGGAGGAATACGCGGATAAACGACAAGCCGGCCTCTTGCAGCCAGATGGTGCTTATGTGAAATACCTAACTAATCGTGGGCCTCTTAACAAACATCTTGCACAAATTGCGCAGATTTCCGCTTAGTAATACATGATTAGAAATTATTTTTTTATTGTTTACTTTTTACGAATATTATTTGTAATGTAAATGAAAATAAATTATAATAATCAAAAGATTGGCCCGTGAAATCAATTTATTTTATTATGCTGTTTTTTACAAGTTATTATTAGAATGCGATTTTTTAGGAGGCAAAGTCGTTAAAAATGACCATGTTATTCCTTGTATTTGTTCAACAGTTGGAACAACGCAAGGTATAACCGTCACCGGATCGCCTACTATAATAGGTGCAGATAGACAATCCGAAGGTCTGCCATATGGATGAATAAGAAAAGAATCCTATCAATAAATAGAAATAAATTAGAAAAAGACGATAAAATGGAAACGAGAATGAACATTCAAATTTACCTCAAAATTTGAATCGCCATAGCACCATTGAGTGTTTTTAGCGTAATATGTTGAATTCATTAATAAAGTATTATCATCCATATTCCATGCTAGACTTTATTGTTATTAATACTTTAGTATGAGATTTAAACATTTAACATAACCGCAGAACATACATAGTCTCATCTGGTCCAAGTATTTGTACTGGATTAGCGCAACCATCGTAACTTTGTTGTGAAAGTTCTACCGAAAACTTAGTTTGAGTAGGAACATTAGCACAGTCCGTCACATGCAAGGGATTGGTAGAAATGTCCAGACACCTCCACCCATATTCTGTAAAGAACAAACGTATGACAAAAA